CGCTTAATAACGTAGAAACCATCCATAGGTATATATTTTGGGGAAGTCTAATTCTAATTTCAAAAGATTCTTTGAGTCCCGACATCAATTCTGCAATAGTTTTACGCCTGGGAAAAGGGACTATGTCGGAAGAACAAATACCACGCAATGTGTATATTGATTTGTAGTCACTGTTAGCATACACATTACATACTGCTCTGTGCTAGGCAAGTTGACTCTACACTCAAGGGCTGAAGGGCTACCTAATTATCATCTTATGAATATTCATAGTCTAATTTGGAACATGAAAAACCCAATACAAACACGATGTCTTGTTATAGACGATGGCTGAAAGGAAAGTGTGTTCCTCACTTCGCCCGTTGTGTGAGTTCCGAGTTCGAACCAACCATATACAAACTTGAGCACTCTTTAACGTGATATATATTTATATATGTATCAAACTCCTTGAACAATTTATATGAAGGAAGGTAACTCCCATGGTTTACGAAAACGAGGTGATTTGGCTTGAGAAAACGAGTTATTTAGTGTCGTTCTGCAGCGGAAAATTGTGATTGGTTGAAAATCACTAGAATAAACGAAAGCACTGATTATAAGTATAGTTTCTTTGATAAATTATGGTGGACAAGCTTTATTACACAGCGTGTATTCAAAACTTGTTTTGTTTGAAAATATATTCATCTCCGAATCTAGCTTGTGTTATCAGGTTTTCATCTCAGACACTCAAGCTCCGGTAAATTTTTGTATTTATTGAAACAACGTTTCTTTCGAAACACTGTTCCTTCGCTTCGATATTGTTTTGAAGACCAGAGCCGTCAATTTCAATGAGCCCACGACTTTATGCAAATAAAAAAACTGCTCCCGATTAAACATTGAAACTTAATTCCTTCAGTTTATTTGTGGGGGGGGGGGTTATATCAGATAAAATCGAGTTTATTCTTTAAACTTTATTCAAAGTTGTTTATATGCTAATATCTATTTTTTTAATTTTAATATAGGGAACACTTGCACTGATTATATGACAAAGCAGTCGTGGAATATGTTTATTATGATATAAAAACAAAACTTTCTGAAAATGACGTAATTATGCCAATGATCATTATGATGGACTTAGGATTTTAGGAGTGGCGATTTGTTTTTTATCCTACATTTAACTTTTAATGGTGTGCCTAAAGCAGTACACGCCATGTGACTGTGATACGTGTATGTTGTAAGGCGTGAAAATAATCTAATGGAATATGTCGCTTAAAACCACATCGGCTTTGGAAAAGTAAAACACTTCTACTTCCATATCATTCAGCCTGAGTGCGTTATTATAATTCGTCCACTGTCATTGTAAGACTATTCTCAGAACGGCTCGAAGACATATCAGAAAATGCACCGATTCTTCGTCCTGACGGTTGGACGGCGTTTATCAAACACACTAGTATACAAAGTGCGCCCATAGAACTGTAAACTTCTCTGCAATGCTTTAGGCTGATTACGTGTTTACGACATGGTTGCGTGTAGCAACGATTAAAATACGTGCCATCGCGCCGAAGTCCATACTATGCAATGGCGAAGGGAATATGCCAGGCGTCGATGTTTTCGTGGTTCGTAGCTATCTGTGTGTTCAGTTCTGTCGTGATAATGTATACTCAGTTTTCCGTTATTGCAACCAAATTTAAAATGTTGGATAATAAGAGTTGGACCATTACTTCTGTCTCATCTGAAAAGTAAGTAAGCAAACTTGACCGTCGATGAGGTACGCAGATGATCAATCGATCCACGTAAGAAACTCCAACACAAATTACATATGCATAGTCTTTTATATGTATATACATATAACAAGTACAAGTGTAATTATTCACGTTCATTTTCAGACGCTCAAGTTTCAGTAAGGCGAGTTTCAAGGTGGTGAGTATTCGGAACACATCGAATAAAACAAACGCAGTTGGTCGAGGTAAATTAGGAGCGGGAAAACCAGTAGAAAAGAAAAATATTCCAAACATGTCAATGTATAAAATACGGCAGGACAATCTACACAGATCGCTAAAGGCGAAAGCAAGTAAGCTGTTGTCATGGCAACCTAATATAACAAGGACTCGAGAGGTGAGGTATGTATAAAAATGTCCTTGAGGTATGTTGTTCATTGTGGGAAGTTGTCATTCTTTTCGTAACCTTTTATTTATTTTTTATTTTCATTTATTTTTTGTTTTGTTTTAATTTCTGCTTAGGAATAATCTGAACCAAATAAATGGATCATTTGTTTTCACACAAATAAATACACCTGTTGGAGGAAAATATTACAACTCGTTTCATCAAGACCCAGTGACGATTGACGATGACAAGCACCGTTTACTACTAGAGGTAAGTCAATGTCTTACACGTACTGACATAATATTGAACTAGTGTCCATTTCACGTCCCTACATGGCTCTTACAATGCTCATTCATGTCCGTGTGGAATATGCGAATTGCACATTTGATCATGTATTGCAATAATTAATGACAATTGAAATAATGGGTTATATTTCTAGGCGTCTCCCTTTGCACACACTAGTATACCATTGTTCAACACTTGTGCTGTCGTTGGTAATGGTGGGATATTACGGCGTAGTAACTGTGGAAAAGAAATCGATGCTTCTGACTTCGTATTCAGGTAATTGTTGCTACGTGTACATAGCCAATGAATTATGTCCATGGGTCATAGGTCAATCACCGGCATGATTCGTTATGATGTAAATACCCAATATATGTCTGCTAAATTACATTGAACGGGAACGTCGCGAACGGTTATAACAACTTGTATTGGCACATAATTTTTAGTTCTGAAATATAAGTGCAATTTTGACACATAATTGTTATGTTTACTCGTGACTGTTTGTTAAGCTCGGTCAGAAGATTGTTTCGATCTTGAGCCAAACCACATGTTTGATTCTATGTTGAGTCATGTCCGTTATATATTAATGTTGAGTATCCCGTATTACCTATTTTCATTAAACTATGGGTTATAACGACAATAAAAAGTGGGGTAAATGTTTCGAGAAATAAATTTTGCACTGGTTATTATTGCGAAATTATTTTTTCATATCTCGACCGTTTGCTAAGTGAGGTAGAATAAAAATATATGTTATTATTAAAAGCCATGCTAGTATTGTCAAAACATTTCAAAAGTTTGAAATTTGTTTTTGTGATTGTCCAGTCTGGTAATAATTTGTCATTATATTCACCAGGGAGTACTCTCCAATAATGCATTGCACCTTTGTACTGTAACTTCATGCTCAGTAATGAAATTGACTTATGCTTGAACTGCCTTTCAAAGTATTTTTCTTTTTCGGTCGGATTTCGGATTTCCAATTCTCATTGACACTTCTGCCACAGCAGGACTTGGAAAACTAAACGCGATCAATCTCTTTTTTAAATACATCATCATGATTTAGAATATAAATAGACGTCACAATAATACAAGACTTATTTCAATGATGATCTCAGTTTAGTAGTACTTTTTTCATATATGTTAATACATCTATACTTTTCATTATTTTGTAATCTATGGTTGCTTTCACCATCACACGATTACCAAAAGTTTAACAAACTACTAGTTAATAAAGTCCGAAATTAACATTAAATTAAATAAATGAAAACAGTTATTACATATTTAAAAACAAAATGAAAAATGAAATAGAAAAAAAAACTTAAGATAAGATCGCATTTTACTTGACTCGATGGCTAGTGTATTGTGTCTAAGTAATCATTCCTGTAATTTGTCTAAATACAACTGGAAACAAAAGAGCATGTTTCATACACGTCGCAGCGCGTGTAACACACAATTCATCTTTACTGTGTCTGCGTTGCCTCTTTTCATTGGAAGCGTTTTCTTATT